AAAAAAAAAAAAAAAATTATAGTAATATTTAAATTTACATTGCTTCAATTTTGGAATTCTCATTTGTGAGGATTCTTTTTTATTTTATCATATTTTTTAGAACCAACAATTACAAAATATAAATTTATATAAATATCTAAATATATTTATATTAATATTATTTTTCATTGTGGCAGATTTTGAGAATGAACGATTCTATATGAGATATATACAAATCTTTTTTTTTTAGATATACACCAATTCCATTTATTGGTATTCTTTTTGTCAATTGTTTCTAAAAAGAAAACTATCAAAATTTTGTATAGTAAATCGATTTTTTGTTTTTGTACACACAAGATATAAATTTATTGCAATATATATATATATATAATATATATATATATAGGATATATATATATATTATATATATATATATATATATAAATTTACTACCTAAAAAGTTGTCACACATATAATAGGAAAGTTGTCCAATTAAAAATTGTTCAGTTTGAAAATATATGACAAACTTGTCACACATTCAATTAAAAATTGTTCGGCTTGAAAAAAATTAGCCTGAAGTAATGTCTAATCACTAATGTTTTATATTTATATCTACTATATATAATCTCTCTCATTAATTAGTATGATGTAATATTTAATGTTTTGTATTATTCATACATATTTTTGTAGATATACACCAATTCATTTGTCCAACTGTTATATAAATTATCATATTATAAATGGATCAATCTTAGACTTTTCCAGCGGTACCAGTTCCTTCTGATTTTGGAGTTCCATTTAACAGTCATGGTTAGTCTTTTGTATAAAAAATATAGAAATATTAGTGAATATTATATAGCTAATCAAGTATAATCGATATTAAACTAACAACACATTGTATGTTGGCATGTTCTCGAAGAAATCGATTTTTAGTCACGGACAATTATGTTGTTTGTTTCGTGTGTAAATAATAAAAAAGTGTTGAAAATATTAGTTTGTGGGGACGACGAGTTGCTCAGTTATTGAA